GTCAGACCCAATAATAAAAAACAAATGATATGGGTGGGGCGCTGCATCACTGATGCAGAGGAGGACGCGGAAACTAACTCCTTCAATGTAACTGTGGAGTGGTTCAAGCCAAGTTCCGGATATACGAACGATTGCCTAGAAAAGAGATGGGTGCTGAATCCAAGGGATCCCAGCATGAGCATATCGGTGGATAATGTTGTGCATGGTTGGATGCGGAAGCAGAGTGCCACCATCACCTTGCCAGACCATGCAAGAGATGCAGCAAGAGCATTCATAACCCGGGTTCAAGGTGAGATTCATGAATATTCCTTTACTAAGTTTCTAATGTATTTTATTTCAAGGTGAACAATCCGAATCTGAATCAGAGGAGGCGTGATGGCATGTGGCCTTACGCCATTCCTAGGTGAGATGATATAAATAACAAGTATAAATTCTTAGTTGTTCTAGCAAATCTTACTTAAAGTTCAAGGTGAACAAGCCGAATATGAATTCATCGGATTGTTATAACAAATTGCGAGGTGATGGCATGAGGCGATACGCCATTTGAGAGTGGTAGCCATTCCTATATGAGGTGAGTGAAGTATTTATTAGAAATACCTCATTCAATTGTGCACTTCTAAGTCTTGGTCCACTTAGTACTGTTTGCATGTTTTTATTTTAATTCTTTCTCTAAAATGTTATTTAGCATGTGGCTTCATGCCATTGCTCTCCACAATCATGCATTGAATTTCTATCCTTGCATAATACTTCTCCATATATATAGCATGTGCGCACATGTGATATGGTTCATTAGGCCTGATATAGTGTGTGAGGTAAAACAAAGATGATGTGACATATGCATTTACCAATCACACGTGCATAAATCTGGTGTGTGGCCCATATTAATGGCACATAAACCCATATTGTGGGCTTACGTGCTTTATGTACCATCATTCCCTTGCAGCGTGTGTGTTGGTTTCCTTTTATAACACAACGAACTCCATATTTTAGGGTGAAGAGCGTTCTCATGGCAAGCACAAAATCTGTAAGTGAGGCAGAAAAGGAGACGGAGAAGGAGATAGGTGAAGATGTAGAATATATAAGTCTTCCAAACTCCCCGTACTATACTCCAGGTGATCATTTTTCTGAACAAACGGCAACATTAACAACTATCGAGAACGCCCCAGTAACATCAGAGACAACAATCCAAAGCAAAACAACTGACCCAGAGAAGGATGATAGTACCGCTGAGAGTACCAAAAAGGAGGTGTCCACTAGCGCTTAGGCTTATAATGGCGTGTGCCCTCATGCCATTTACTTGATCACCAAATACCTTTTTCCCTTTGCACTAGTATATCTTAATACCGGTCTGAGAAATAGAATGGCATGTGCCCTCAGGCCTTTTACTAAATCACCTTTGAAAGAAATGCAAGCCTCTATGTCGTAAAAAAAAGGTACTAGAGAAATTCCTTAATAATATGAATGTTATTTAGTTTCATGAAAATACACTAAGGGTCAAATGAGTTAAATGACTTCTCCAGACTAGCAATGCCTCTTGCTACACCTTCACAATTAGATTCGTTAGAAAAAGATAACATTGAATAATATCTAAATGTTCTCACCATTAAGTTATATGTCTGGCTAATAGGAATGACGTTCATCTTGGAAAACTCACCACACACTCAATGAACAAACAAATAGTGTGTGCGCGCATGCCATCGTTCTTCTTTAGCTTCAGATTCGGCTTGTTCACCTTGACAATGAGATTTATTATACAACCAGATGGACTCAATCTGGACATAAAGTCACCATGCCCCAGATATGTCTAGCCCCTGGACAAAAAACATATAATTTCACGTCATTTTCAAATACTTGAAAATTTGTACCTAGTCCCATTTTATTGAATAAATCCCACTTTAACGAAATAGAGCATATGGTGGGAAGTTTGAATGTTTTAGTGGGGTTATTATACTCTCTATGTAAGCTTTCTCTCATTTTCTTTCTTGTCACATTCAAATGTTGCATTTTTCCTAGGATCAACCACTTGATGACATAGCACTTACACCAACAATTAATCTCTCTGAGAGAAAACATTGGAGTCAGAGAGCTTTTGAAGCAGGGAAAGGAAAAGTGTTCCTTTATGAAGCTATGCTCTCCGACCTCACTAGATCTCTTGAGCAGTCATCAAAAGCTTTAGCTGTATAGGAAGCAAGGTTTGCTAGTACAGGTCCGAACTTAGACAGGCTTCGAGAGCGGGTTGGTAGAAGGACAACACCAACAACAAGGTTAATGTCTAAGATGGTGGAGGAAGTTGTTGCTAGAATTCCTATGAATCAAGTTATAAACCACTTGGGGACATGAGAACAGCTCGGATGAAGCGTTAACAGATATTTGATGGGCCAAACATCACTCCTAGCTCTCACCGTCCAGAGTTTGACTACCATTCTGTTCCATGACACTGGAAAAGAACTAAGGAATATGGAGTGAAGGACGTGTTAGTTGTTACACAAGTAAGTCCAGTGCCAGAGGTTGAAAAGGTTATTTCTTGTGAGCTAGTTTCTCGTATCAACTAGGCAATTCGAAGAGTCAGTGCCAAGAGCAATGCACGTTGCTCCAGAATGATTGGGAGTTGAGGTTAGTGTCTCACATTTATGTGCTCAGGTTCAAGTTCTTTAACAATGCCATGTTTCTGGGGCTGTCGAGATCTAGGAATGAAGGGCTGCTAGTCAAGCTGGATTTACTGTTGTGGGATTGATGTTACTCATACAAGCTGGATCCACAGCTCAATTATTTTGAAGCCAGATTCTATGCTAGAGGAGTGGCCAGTTGAGCAAAGCTACAATCTTTTGAAAGAAGAAATTGAAAGTCTAAAGAGAGTAGATTTCAAGCTAAAAACTTCCTCAAATGTTGCTGTTAGTACTACTATGCCACCAATATCAACACTAGACCAGCATACACGACTAGCTAGGAATGGGAAGGCTGTACAATACAAGTCTTCCATTTCAAAAGGTGCACAAAAGAAGATCAAGTTAGCAAAAGAGTTGAAGTGCACAATCACAAAGACAAACTGCATTAGTGTTGTGGCTAAGGAGTTTGTTATTGTGACTAAGTCTTCAAAGGTACGAACTACACTATCAAAATCTGCGAAAATCCATCCTATACCTGTCCAGATTTTACACAAAGGGAGAATAAGGAAAAGGTATATTTAGCCTGCAAACACATCTATTACATTTTTATGCATAAACTAAATCAAGATCCTAAGATCGACCATCACATCCACTAGACAAGCCTTACAGTTACGGAGCTTGAGAAGTGTTTTTAGATTGCTTTTAGTGTTCGGATCTATATTTATATTTGTATTTTATTGGTCAAATTTACTTAATAATAATAATAGTGAAAAATCTCAGTATACTTTTTTAGAAAGTACAAAGTTTAGACTTTGTATCTAATCTTGTGTAAGACATATTTGTTCAAATGATTAAAATAGTGGTCAGCACCTAGATTAAGAAATTTGAGTGGCTGACTTGAGCTATATGGTGTATTTAGATGCCCATCATTATGCTACATGGGCCTCTGGATAGGTGGTATATATGTAACGGCAAACATCCCACCCAGATCTTCATTACTGTTTGGTGTTGGACTCCAATTTTCCCCAGGTAAATGTCTTTGTGCAATCTATGTAAATCTCCTTTTTTAAGCTTTATACTTTTACATAACAGAATATTCTCAGAATAACTTTTTTTTTTTTTGTTTTTTAAGGTCATAAGGGTCAAAGGAAATAAGTATATTAAAGAAGATCACTCACAGGGCTCCCAAGCAATGGTCTTTAGTCTTCCATCACCCACACTTCCTTGCAATGCTCAATAAATTAGGCGCCTCTAGTAGCCACACTATTGTATCCTTGGATTCTGTTTGTGGAAATAGTGTGGATTTTGACACTAAAGATGCTGTAATTGATCAAGTTCTGGTCAACACCTTTTAGTCTAGTTATTTTCAACAGGTAGATCATTTTTAAAAGCTTATAAAAGGCCAATAACAACCTTCATGGTTGTTGAGAACCTCCAGAAATAAAAAGATTTCTGAGGGCTTAATACCTTCAATCTCAGCAATAGTGAGCTGGCAGAGAGTTCATATAGGGTTTGGCTTAAGATCACATATCCTTAACCATATTTAAACTTAGATAATGAAAGGATGCCAAAGATCACAAACATCTATTCTATTACCTTGTTCCATTTCATATTATTCCATTCACCTTATTCCATGAATGAAGTACCACACCTCTCACTATGATCTTTCTATGAAATGGCAATGGTGAATGATTATGGTTATAGACAAGATAATTGAAAAATATCACATAATAATTTTTTAAATTTAGTTATTATTATTTCAATTACCCTCGCCAGCGTCTGGAAATGGCGGCGCCGGCGCCTCCGCTTTGCCCTCCAGGATCTGCACCACGCGGCTCATCGCTGGCCTAGATCCTGGATCCTGGTACCACAGCGCGATCTTGAGCGCCGTCTCGAATTGCTCCCAATCCACGCTGCCGCTCGCCAGGTTTGGATCGGCAATGCTCTCCAGCTCCGAGGTCATGTACTTTTGGAAGGCATAGATCGGGAAATACCACTCGCCAGGCGGTGGCAGTGGCGCATTCTCGTATTGCTTCAGCTCCATGAGGGCCTTCCTCTTGCCGCTCAAGGTATCCAGCAGGAGCATCCCAAAGCTATAGACGTCGGCCTTGGGGCGGGGCCAGGTATCCCCTGGTTCCTTGCACGGTGGTGATGCTCATCGATTCTTTTCTCATCATCCTCGCCAGCCCGGAAGCTCTCGTCCAGCAGCACGTTTTGTGGCTTGATATCGCAGTGGACGATGCGCTCGTCACGCTTCTCGTGGAGGTACGTCAATCCTTTGGCAATCCCCAGCGCGATTGAGTGTCGTGTCTCCCAGGTTGAGAAGATCTCTTGCGAGGCGGCAGACGAGGACGAGGCCGAGAGGTGGTGGTCGAGAGAACCGTTTGGCATGAACTAGTAGACGAGGAGGTGGCGGTTTCCATAAGCGCAGTAGCCGAGGAGGCGGACCAAGTTGACGTGGTGTACTCTTCCAATCGTGCTCACCTCGGCTTTGAATTGCTTCTCGGCCTGGTTCACGGTGGTGATCTTCTTCACGGCCACAATACCACCTTTCTCCGGTATGTTTCCTCTATACACGCTCCCGAATCCTCCCGAGCCTAACTCGTTGCAGAAGTTTTCCGTAGCATCCTGGAGCTGGCGATACGTGAACTTGGTCGGGAGCCCCTCGATCTCTGCCGTCATCTCCTCCCATTTCTTGCCGGAGATTTTCTTCCACACAGCCGCCACGACCGCGGCTCCAGTGGCAAACAGCCCGAGCTCGACGATGGCCACGGACAGAATGATGGAGTGGAGGTGCCGCGAGAGGTAGACTGTCCGTTTGTTTATCTTTGGCATGACTTGGTCACTCACTGTGGCGTTTGCATCCGCGAGGAAGGGATCGTGCTGGTCGTCGGCTGCAGATGTGTCCAGGCTCGACAACTTCATAAACACCATGTTGATCTCGTTTAAGGTCTGCTTACCGTTGTAGAGCTTGTTGGAGCTGCCTTTGAGGAAGCACAAGCCCGTGCCGTCGTACTTGTAAGCGGCTGCCAGGCACTTACAGTCTTGCATGCAGGTGTCCTTGCACTTCTCGAGCGACTTGATGGTCGAGTCGAAGTTGTAATCGTTGAAGTAGTAGTCTGCTCGATTCACCTGGACGAGCTTCACCGAGTTCGAGGAGTTTTGACAACCTCCCAGAGGTATGTTGTAGTCACATCCCTTCGATTCGTCGTTTGGATCAACTCGGTGAAATCCAGGAGGACAGCTGCAAGTTTTTGTGGGCCTGTAGGTGCAGAGAGCGAAAGGTCCACATGTTCCAAAGACGTCGCACTCGTGCATGACGGCTTGCCAGACGATGCTCCAGGAGCCACTCTTGTTCTTCGGGCCGAAGCTGTAGATCCTGAGATTGCTATCGTCGTCCAGCGTAAGTCTCCTCAACACATTTGCATCGTCATAATCAAGCGCGTAGTCTTGTGAACTCATTGATCCAGCTCTATCCAGTTGCGTCGTAAAAGGAAAGGACCCCTTGAGAGCTCAAGTTCAAGACGGCCGGGAACTTGAGAGAACGATCGGGCTGGCAAGCGTTGTTGTTCAAGACGTGCTCTCCGGTTTCATCATCCAGGCAAGTCATGGTGGAGTTCAGTGTCGGATTTGCAATAGACCAGTACTTTTGCGGGATCTCCAGCTTTAAGTTCTTGAGCAGCACCTGACCACTGTTGAGAACAAGCTGGTATGCTCCAGATACACGAGAAATCAACCTCGTGTATCCCAAGGACGGATTTCCTTGCGTGCGGAGCTGCTGCTCGGGCAAAAGGTTGTTCGTTGGAGAGTCGAAGATCTGCCATGCAATTTTCTTGTCTTTCCGAAGGACAATTAAGTTCCCGTTCTCGAGCAGCGCAGCACTTTCAGCACAACACTGTCCAGGATTGGTTTGCCAGAAGGGGACGGAGCTGTTGCCAGCAGTGACGGAAAGTCCTCCCTCGGCTTTCAACTCAAGCTTGGCATTTTCACTCACCTGGACCAGCTGCCCGTTTGCCATTGCCATCCAGACGACAGTCTTCTTCGGGTCTATATCATACCAGATCGCGAAATTGAAGTTCCGGGTGCTTGAAGACTCAGGCATTACGAATCCAAATCCAAAGATTCCTCCAGGCGATCTCCAAGGGCTTCCTGTTGTGACAGTGCTTCCGCGCAAGAAGTCGGCCAGGACTCTGCTGTAGTAAGTCGAAGAGAGCAGCAGCATGAGAGTAAGTAGCTTCATGAATGTTGTTTCTGACATGGTTTCTCCAAAGCTTGCTCTCGCTAAGTTTTTCTTCTGTTTTGCGGTTCTGACTTTTTAAGTTATGTGGTTCTTTCGTTGGAGTTACGTTCCCGGATTGAATTGATCAAAGCCCAAGTCAATCGTTGTGAAAGTCATCTACTTTCACCTTGACTTTGCTAAGGATACTACTATTATAAGTAGTTCTTGTGAGGTATGATCAGTTTTTTTTTCAATTGTTTTTAATGCCATGAATTCGTAGCAAAACTCAGAAGGATATGAGAAATCATGGAGGATATCTTGTAGTTGACATCGACCAAGTCAAATTGTAGTTCTGATATAGCTTTCAGAGTTCACTTCTTTTCTAATTAGTGAGTTTCATTTGCAGGAGAAAGAACAAGAAGTTTTTTTCCTGATGGCAGCAAAACTAGTGACGCTAGTTCTACTGGTGCTCCTGGTGCTGAATTGCGAGGGGATTGGACTGGGAGACAAGCTTGGTGCGAGGCAGCCACCATGGATGTCACTTAACAACACTTTTGCATTTGGATTCCACACAAGCGATGGGATTGGTGAGCTCTTTACTCTTGCAATCTGGCATCAAAGCACAGGAACAGTAGTATGGGAGGCCACTGAAGCGCTCATCAAGAATGGTAGCACTACCGAGAAACCGAAGATCAAAGTAGGCAAAACTGGAGAGCTCGAGCTTAAAGAAACTGGACTCATCGTTACAGACAAGTCCATGACAGTATGGCTTGTCCGCTGTGAGAATTGTTCTATCGCCACCGCGTCCTTGGAAGAAACTGGCAACTTTGTGCTGCTCGACCGTAGCTCGGACAGGATTTGGCAAAGTTTTGACTTCCCAACAGATACTCTCCTTCCTGGACAAGAACTTCGTGGAAATACGAGTTTGGTCGCTGGAAAATACCGGCTTAGCATGAACAGACGGGGTATTGAACTCTACTTCCAGGACTACTTGAATCATTCCTACTGGGGCATCATCAACAAGCAGCTCAACACCTCAGAGTCGACAATGACTTCTACTCCGAAGTTCACTTTCAGCATCGATGGTCATCTTGCCTTTTTCGATGCCAACGGAAGCTCCTGGTACCGCTACAAGTTCGACAACGCTCAAAAGTACCCGATAGATCTCGGTGATACGAGCGTGACCCGGAGGCTCACGCTGGAAAAAAATGGAACGTTGAGGAGTTATAGCTGTGGCAGCAGGGAAAAAAGGTGGAGAGTGGTATGGCAGTCGGCATTGCTCGAATGTGAAGTTTTTGGGACGTGTGGAGCTTTTGGCTTGTGTGGATACAAGCCGAGGAAGAGCTGCTCGTGTCCACCGGGATTTTATGCTGTGGATTCCAGTGAATCGGCCGGATGCGTCCGCAAATTTCCCCTCAGCTGTTCTTCCGGTAACGCTACTTCTTCTGCGAGCAAGATGGTGGAAGTTCAGAGGGCCATGTACGTTGGAAATCTTTTGCAACAACTCTCCAAAGACCCGATTTCCCTCGAGCAGTGCAAGGTCTCTTGTTTGAAGGATTGCCGCTGCCTGGGTGCTACGTACATGCTCGCGGGAACAAAACGTTGTAGTCTTCTTGGTGGTGAAGATGGAAGACTCTTCAATGGTGTCCAGGCAATGGAGCGGGCCTCCATCGCACTTCTCAAAGTTTCGGCACTGGATCCATTGACAACTTCTTTCTCCGAGGACGTGTTTGTGACGGTCCTGGATGCTTATACGCCGTCACTCCCCGATTCTTTGAGAAACTGGAGTTACTTCTCTGACGCGGGTCACAGACTGGTCTTTGCCATCGCAATTGGAGAGCTCGCCAGTTTCTTGTGCATCGCGTTGTCGGCGTGGTTCTGCTGGCGAAGATCTCTTCGTGGAATGTGGAAGAAAGCCGCCAAGGATCACCGCGGCCCGACATGGTTCTCGTACGAGCAGCTGGAAGTTGCCACAAACCATTTTAGCTGCAAGCTCGGGGCCGGTGGATTCGGAAGTGTTTACAAGGGTGTTCTTCCGGATATGACGGTGGTGGCAGTAAAAACTCTTGAAGGAGCTGCCAGCCACGGCGAGAAACAGTTTAAAGCCGAGGTCGCCACCCTTGGAAGGGTTCATCACGTCAACTTAGTGAAACTTTTGGGCTACTGCGCTGAGGGAAGCCATCGTTTACTCGTCTACGAGTTCCTGAGCAACGGATCACTGGACCAAGAGTGTATCGATCTCTGGGGAACGAGGTATGTTCGTGCTCTTTCCAAAGTTTGTCTACTAAGTTGGTTTACAGGTACTCGATTGCTCTTGGTGTTGCAAAGGGCATCACGTACTTGCACGAGGAGTGCTACGATTGCGTCCTCCACTGCGACATCAAGCCGCAAAACGTTCTCCTCGACGAGAACTTCTGTCCAAAGGTGTCGGACTTTGGCCTGGCCAAGCTCATTGACAAAGAACGGGCTCTCGATGTGACCACCATCCGAGGAACTCGAGGCTACATGGCACCCGAGTGGGTCGGCGACCGTCCCATCACCTCCAAAGTGGACGTCTACAGCTACGGCATGGTGCTACTGGAGCTGCTCAGCGGCAACGACAAGTCGAGAATCGGCCAGAACCGCTACTTTCCAGTGTGGGCTTTTCAAAAGTACGTGGCCGGAGAGCTCCACGCCATCGCGGACCCGGGGCTTAAAAACTTGGAGTGGAACGAGTTCGAGCGGATGATCAAGGTGGCGTTTTGGTGCATCCAGCTCGACGCCAGGTCCAGGCCGAGCATGAGCCGGGTGGTGCAAATGCTGGAGGAGCCCGACTTGGAGGTGGCTGTGCCGCCGTTTCCAACGCCAGCCTCGGAGGAAGTGGTGAGCGGGAATAGTCCGAGCTTTCTTCCTCCACTGTCACAGTCGGTGATCGATCCAAGATAGAATTCAAGTAGGAAATCTCTTCAGTCTATAGAGTGGGAGAAAGTCTCGCGGGACGGGACCATTTCAAAGCTTCGTCATCCAACAAGGAGGACTTTGCCCTGTCTGGCCTGCTTCTCTGCCTGTTCCATGGCGGTCTCGTAGTCCTCGAGAGGAAATTTAGCCACCACTGGAAGCGATCCTATGATCTTTGCCTGGAAGAGCTCTGGGATCTCTTTAGCCATCAGCTCTTGCATGTCCCCTGAAGCAGCTGTCAAGCTCCAGAAAGAATGGGAAACTTTTCTCGCGAGATCATTCACCGATATCACCGAGTCCGATGATTCGAGGCTCCCGATAGTGAAGACTTTCCCACCGGATTTCACGCAAGCGGCAGCGAGCTTAGTTTGCGACCCCGATACCATGTCGATCGCTCCCTCCACTCCGGCTCCATTTGTAAGTTCTTTCACTTTAGCAGCAACATCTTCCCCACGAAGATCACGCAAACTTAGAAATTATCGGGTGTGGGTAAATTGTACCTTCTTTTGTCACGTTGAGAACTTCGTCAGCACCGATGCTCTTGAGCTCTTCCTTGATTTCGTCACGCCTCACAAGGTTGATGGTCTTGATGCCCCAGTGCTTTGCAAGCTTGATAATGATCCTAGTGCGTGAAAGATCGTTTCGTTTGTGAGAGTAGGGACTCTACTAAAGATTTACCTTCCAAGCACCGAGCCAGCGCCATTCTGGAGGACGTAGCTTCCTTTTGGAGCATTGATATCCTTGAGAAGACCATAGCCCGTCCAAGGATTGATAATCAGCTGTGCCGCATCCTCGTCGGAGATGTCATGAGGCATCAAAATCACGTCTTTCTCCGAGACAGTGACAAAATCCTGCCAAGAGCCTTGTTTGGCAGAGAAATAGTTCCACAGAAATATAGGAACCACTCTATCCCCTTTCTTCACACGCCTTACGCCTTCTCCCACCTTCAAGAGATTGGAAACGATCAGAATTTCTTCTTCTTCTTTTTCCCTATGAAACCAACCTCTTCAACTATGCCAAAGCCTTCACTCCCTGGAACAAACTCACCCTTGTCGAAGATCCCAATGGAGAAGGACTGCTTGATGATGATGCGATCGAAGGGATGGATGGGCCTGGCAATGATGCGCACCACCACACTCCCGGGCTCGGCTGCTCCGGGCCTGGGAACACTGACAAGCTCCGGGCCTTGATTCGCCTCCCCGGCACCACAAACCTTTTGACGCACTGCTCTTGCAAAGTTTCCCTCACCCATGCTTGCGTTGTTTGCTTGCTGACTTCCTGCTAAACTTTGTTTATATAAGTCCAGTACTCTTTCCTTCCAGCTGCATTGCAGCTTTCTTTGTTGTTTCCAAAGCAAATAAACAATGGAAAATGTTGAATTTTCCTTTAAGTTCACAGCCTTTTTACCATTTCGGAAATCCAAGAGTTTCTCTAGACAAAGTCACTGTTAAATTTTATGCCGTCTCCTGGGGGTTAATATGTATATATGTAGCCAGTTTGAGTTCGAGATCATGAATGTCATCAAATTCTTTTTTATTAAGAAGCGCACACACACATCAGTACATAAATACATAATAGTTTATACTTTTTATAGTGTCTCAACGCAAGATCTCAACCTTCATATTGGCAACTGTAAGAAACACTTGATGAGCGCGAGCTTTGACAATGGAAGAAACAGAACGAAGATACTCACGACTTGAACTTGAGAAAGGCCGAGAACCTCATTGGCGGAGATCACAGGCTCCTCGTCTACGAATTAATGCTCCTTGACAAGCGAGTTCACCCTGTCCTCGTGCACCACCTCGAGCTGGGACAAACGCTACGCTGTTGGATCCCCAAAAAAACATGGGCAACTGTGCCGCCACATAAAAATGAAACTTGTGGGCTCGGAGGTCTTAAAGTTCCAATGCGCAAAAGCGAAAGAGCCAGCCATGGTTGGACAGGTCGCTACTCATAATGCTTTCGTGCGTGATCACTCTTCCTTTGACGATTCGTGGTTTGTTTTTCCAAACCTTTCTTATGCGCTATGGTGACAGACAGTCCTGTGGTGACATGAGAGACATAGGACTTTGTTTCCAAAGGTTACTAGTCCTACCAAACCTTACGTGTCCCTCAGGTGTCTTATCATCTCCAGGACGGCTGCCTCGGACTAAAGATCAACAAAAAAGATTGCGTCGATCCAGGAAGAATATATCTTAGGTAGATTAATCATTATTTCGCTGCTACCATGGGGCCTTGCTATGACATAACTATGACATATCACCAAGGATTATTTGGACCGCCCAGCTAGCTGGAGCTGCTGCCTGTTGACAACGTCGTGATAGTAGAGCAGCACGCACATCGGCTGCCCGACGATGCAAAAGAAGAACCAGAAGATCATGTTGCCGACCATGGAGCTCTGGAACTTGCGCTGGAGGACGTTGGTCACCAGAACCAGCGGCACCTGGAACATGATCCCCAGAAACGCCCAGCCCCGCAGCATGTGGCACGGCACCGCGATGCAAATCTCGTGAAAGATCCCGGAGATGACGAACACCACCAAAATGGCGAACTGCTTGTGGAGGCCCAGCCGGAGGCACGGGAAGTAGACGTGGCGGACGAGCCAGCGGTGGACGGGCATGTTCCACAGCCGCCAGTACTCGTCCACCGACTTGGCGTTCCACCAGTCCTTGTAGAACTCGCGGTCGCCGAAGCACAGGATCTCCGCCACGATGTTGAGCCACAGGTGGAAGAAGCAGTAGAAGAAGCCGAGCCAGACGTAGAGCGTGGGGATGGACAGCTTGAGCACGCGCTCGATCGCGTAGAGGTAGTTCCCCTTGAGCGGGTGCGTCGAGTTCCGGATGATCGGATTCATGTACTGCCCGATGATGAAGCCCATGAATCCGTTGAAGACGATCCACTTGCCCAGCTGCCGGAGCACCCACCCGGTTCTAATCCGCGGCGAGCGCGGGTAGCTCAGCTGGTAGCACAGCGTCGGCGCTGCCATGAAGTAGGCGATGTTCTTGAGCGAGATGTTGTCCGGGTAGTCGATCGCCGGCGCCTCGGCGGGGAGCTCGATCTTGCCACCGTCCTTCTTCACCGCGCGGATGTCGGCGTTGGTGTGCGCGTAGGAGACGAGCTTGAGCCAGCCGGTGACGGCGATGAGCATGAGAACCAGCCCCGAGAGGAGATCCGACTGGAACATCTCGATCACGTAGATCGGGTAGAGCAGCGCGGCGGCGAGGTTGATCAAGTGGAGCGGCGCCACGGCGGTGGCGGGGCGGCGGGCCTTGATCTTCTCGATGACATAGGCGGCGAGGGGGAAGATCAGCAGCGAGAGGCCACACATGAGGAGCGGCCAGTCCTTGAGCGACTTGGAGCTGAAGAGGACCTCGGCCTGGATGAGGAGGCCATACTTCATGAGATTCTCGATGATGAGCCGGCTGTTCACCGCCACCAGCACGACGATGCAGAGGTTGAAGAGGCCGGCGTGGCTCTGCGTGAAGATGGCGTCGGAGCTGAGCGGGCTCTCCTTGCTCCGCCGGTGCGCCGGGAGCGAGGGCCGCATGGCTTGCATGGCCGCCGCGAGGAAAAGGAGGAGGAGGAGGAGAATCCAAGCGGCGGCGAGAACAAATGTACCTGCGCGGAGGGATCGGCGGATCCAGCAAGGAGCGGGGAGGCGCAGGCGCAGTAAATTCTCATGCCCTGGCGCTCCGGGCTTCCTCCTGAAAGCTGGACATAGAGGAACCCTAGAAATTCCCAACTTTAGGGTTCTTGGGCAGGGGAGAGTTAGGGCTCTTGGGCATTAGGAAATCTCAACTTTTAGGGTTCTTGGGTAGGAAGAAGGGGCGAGAATGACCAAGGTCGTGGCCGGCGCGGGCGCCAATCTCCTGTCCCAGCACGCCAAGGAGCACAACCAGGACGCGACCGCGTACGTGGGCAACCTGGATCCCCAGGTAACCGAGGACATCCTGTGGGAGCTCTTCACGCAGGTGGCTCGCGTCCAGAGCGTCTACATCCCGCGCGACAAGATTACCACCGCGCACTCGGGCTACGGCTTCGTGGAGCTGGCCAACGAGACGGCGGTGGACTACGCCGTCAAGATCCTCAACAACTGCCGCCTCTACGGGCGGTGCATCCGGATGAGCAAGGCCTCGCACAAGGACGAGAACGTTGGCGCCAATCTCTTCGTGGGCAACCTCAGCCGGACCGTGGACAACTATCTCCTGGGATCCATCTTCAGCGGCTTCGGCCGCGTCGTCTACTCGAGCGTCGTCCACTCGGACGACCAGACGCGGCCCGGCTATGGCTTCGTGCACTACGACTGCTTCGAGGCGTCGGACCTGGCCATCGAGAGCATGGACAAGCAGTTCATCGAGAACCAGCAGGTGAGCGTGTCGTACGCGCGCAAGAAGGACAGCGGCGAGCTGCACGGGTCGCCCGCGGAGCGCGAGATCGCCGCCAAGAACCCCGACCGGAAGCCGCACATCATCCCCAAGTTCCAGCCGCCGCTGCCGCCGCCCGAGGCCTCCGCCGCCACCGGGGGGTACTACCATGGTTACGGTAGCGGGGTGCCGTACACGGTGATGCCGCCGCCGCCCCCCCAGCAGCACGACTGGTCGCACCACCACCACCACGCGCAGGCGGCGCCGCCCGCGCCGGCGGTGGTAGCGGCGCCGCCACCGCCGCAGGGGCAGTGGTTCCCGTCGCCGGGGGCGCCGCCACCGCACCAGGCGTGGATGCCACCACCTCCTCCGCGGATGTAAGGTAGCCACTTTTTTTCTTTTCTTAGAGTTGTGGAAGCTCTAGCAGAGCTTTTGATGAAAGAGTGTATGCTATAAGTTTTGTCCAGGAATCTATCTCCAAGAGCTCGAGAGTTACAAAGTTTGGAAGCTGTATATGCTTCTACCGAGACGATTATCATAAACCAGGAACAAAAGCAAAGAAATGTACGCACAAGCAGGAGTTACAAAGTTTCGAAGATCTACAGCCCCAGCCAGTTCCTCATTGCTTCTACCGAGAAGATAGATAAAAAACCAGCAAGAACAAAAGCAAAAAACCGTTACCTTAGCGAACGAAGTCGAGCTTTCCAGTTTGCAAAGAAGCTCGTACGCACACCTGCGGTCGAGCTTGTGCTGGAGCCGAAAGTCCCGTCCCGCGTACTGCGAGCACAAGGCCTCGGTGTCTGACGTGAGCGGCGGGAGTATCTCCGAGCAGCTTGGAAGACACGGAGACGCAGGAGCCACCGCCTCGCCGCTTTCATAAGCCAAGTCCGCTGCCAGGATCCACACGAGATCTGGATCGCTGCTTGATAGAGCACTCGCTGCCTCCGCGGCTAGCTCTTTCAGCTCCCACTGACTGCAAGCTAAGCTCACCACCGCCCCGGCAACCGTCTCAAAGATTGCATCCAAGGCTGGAGCACTCTTCTTGTCCCCGCTTATAGCTTTGATGCACTTGAGCGCTGCTTCTTGGACTTTACGAACTGTTCCTGGAGACTCCCTGGTGGCAAGAGCTCGAGTGGCAGGCTGCGCTATAAGCTGGTCGAGACCGACCCGGCCTCCAGTTACCGGACCGTCTTGAAGAAGCCGTAGAAGCAAAGGCAGGACGTCCTTTTGCAGGCGACGAGCTAGAAAAGATCCACCGCATTCACGCGCAACAAATGCTATGGCACTCAAACATCTTACGAGAACCTGCGAAGGAAAACTTGTCTGCAAACTGGAAAAAGACAGTAGCACTTAAGCTAGCTTACCGCTGGGTGTTCACTCCTCAAGCAGCATACTACGTGAGGCCAGATCTGGTGAATGGTAGGAAGAAGCTTGTTCCCGTCGTTGGGGTCCCTGTCCGGTGTTTCATAATCCAAGTTGCCTTGGGATCTTTCGAAAGCTTGCATGGCTTCTTGCCATCTCAAGTTGCTAGCTTTATAAGCGGCTTCGATCTTAGACAGCGCTGCAACACCATCCTGTAACAACATCACGGCTCATTAACATTTGCGTACACTCTGTTCAATACCAACCTCTATTATGTCAAGTGCAAGAATCCTCGCGGGGATATTTTTTGAGGCAAGTAGCGGAGCCGAAGACACAATGCACGAAGATGCCACCGTCAAAACTGAATGGTGGCATCTTTTATGCTGCAGCAACTTCTGAATGTTCTGCTCCCCTTCATCCATAGATGATGGCAAATCTGAAAGGTAGCTTCGGTCAGAAACGAATACAGTAAAACACCATACCCACCACTCGACGCTAGTTCAAAGCTTTCATGCCTAGCAGCTCTAGTTATTTCTCGCAGTGCCTGTTATCAATGTGATTAGCTAGTTGATGACGATTTCATACACCATTACCTTCAGGATTGGAACCGTAAGGAAAGGATGGTGGTGCCTGCCAGGTATTTCCAGTTCCTGGAGAAGACCTCGCATCTAAACCAGGGAGAGTTTAAACAAGTTGAGACTTCAGATCGCTTACTGGTTCTTCGAGGAGAGGAAGCAGGTCGGCTGCAGCTCCGGTTTGTTGTAATATAGCGGTCAAAAACTCAGGCGCATGAGGATACATTGATATGTGCCTCAGTTGCCGACACAACGAATCCACCACATGATCCAAATTTGCCACTACCAGTTTTTGCACCTAGAAACGAAAAAAACGAGTTATTATCCACAATTTGTAAGCAGAAGCATAACTTACAGAAACATAACCGGAGTGATGGGAAATTCCACGTAACGAAATGCTCGCTGCGTGGGCGATCGAATATCGGCTACAGCCCAGCTTCTCCAGTAGGGGATAAATCACCAAGCCCAAGTAGCCGCTGGTTTCGAACGAGCTTCCCAAAGTCATTCCGAAAATTCCAACACCTTCAATAAGCACCTGTAAAACTTTTATGAGACGATCATGCAAGAAATACACAAACCTGTTGAAGTGTTGCATTGTCTTCGAGGATAGGCAGATCACTCTCGTCACTTCCTTGAGAATCAACTGGAAGATCCCACAATTCTGACACCATGTAATCGTGAAGGACGTCGCCAATGGCGTCACGGACATGTGAAAGAAAGTCTGCCTTCGGCAGCGGATCCCATTCATTGGAGTCTTTACTTCCGAAGAGATTATTCCTGTCCAGCCAAGTTCCAGATGCTCCGTAGATAATCTCGTTCAATGCGCAAGCTGCAGCGGCAGCAGAGCGTCGAAGCTGGCCACCCTTGTCAGCTCCACTTTCCGATGCACAATCACGGATAGACGACTGGAGGAGTAGTAGCAAGTCCGCTAAACTTGGTTTGTCGACAGAACCTCTCAAGCTCGAGAATCCAGCAAGCCTCAGAGTGCTTGCCAGTGCATCATACAGCTTCACTTTTCCAGCCTGCGTAAACCAAGGAGCTGTCCGAGGCAATTGATCATTTGCCACTTCAGCCTCAAGACTCGCTCCATGCGGAAGTGAAATCTCTCGAAACTTGTAGCCTCCGGATTCAATGTAGCCGGACGATGCAAACGTTGAAGGAAGACTTAGAGATTGTGTCATAATAGTGATGAACCGCGAAACACAAGCCTGAAACGTCCGTCAGCCTTCAATTGCAAAAGATACTCAAAAGAATTCAGGCTTACCGGAGATTGAAACAGCGACGTAAAGACAGCTCTGGGGCCTGAGTAATACATTGCGGCTGCTAGTCGTCGCGCATGATGCAATGCAGAAACTTCATCTGCTGAAATAACAACTTTAGGCAGATCCTCCAAAAGCCTGGATCATCAACTGTTAGGCTTTATCTCAGTACTTGACTTTCAAACCTGTTGAGAACAGCAGTGAAAGCCGATTTTAGTTTGGAGTGACTTCCGGAATGTGCGAGGAATGAGAGATGGTGACTTGCAGTGGCCGAAACGGAGCTTGAATCACCGCAAGCAAAGAGCAGCAGAGTTTCCTGACATACATCAGTCATTCCCCAACAACGATCGCTAGCAAATATTGATCTTACCAAAAGCAATGGCATGCAGACTTCCAAGGTCTTCTGGCAAGATCCAATTATTTGCCCGGTAGCTTCCACGACCGCTTTACGTACAGCTGCGACCGGGTGAGCACAAAGCTGAAACCATGTCAAGAAGCTTGAACTGCAAAAAGAAAAGGAGGAAGTTTCAAACGTACCAAGGGAAGAACATCCTGTAACAACTTGTCGATATGAGATACTGTGTCGGCAAGCCACCTTTCGTTGCACTCTACGCGCATGACCTTTCGATCCTCCATGCTCGTGTCTGCCACCTCAAGCTGATGCTCATCACGTCGAGTTTCATGTACCGCCTTCTTCGACAGCTTTTGCAAAGCTCCCAAAGCTTCCTGGTCCTGAATGCGAGGAGTGGCGATGTCTGCAGTTACTAAATTCCGGGAATCCGCAAGCACGAGAACGAGCAACTCGGCAATCCCCAGGATCGCCTCACTCAACGACCGGCTGCTGGCAGCTGCTCCAACGGAATAGAACTGCGCGGCGGAAACAAAACCCGACCTCCCGTTGCTCACAACTGCACCCTTGATCACTTTTCCAAGCCCGCTGGCAACACCGGGAAGAAAAAACGCGAGAGCATCGGGCGATGCAACCTGGAAGAACTCTATTCACCAAGAGAAGAAAAGGAAGAACTTGAATCACCTTCGTCACGACGATTCTAAGCGTTGCAAGAGAGTCGGCTCGTATTGATGCACTCCCCACGCCAGCTCTTGCAGCCTCGGCATGAGAGATCTGCAAGAAGGATCTAGTCACACTCGAGAGAAAAACCACACAAAAATACCTGGAGTAAGACCGAGAACAAATGGCCGATGGCGGCGGCCATCTCCTCCGACCGCATTCTCTCCGCGACATCTCCCTGAGGAGGCAAATGCTGGAACATGGAAGCCAGGCATTTGACAACCCCGTGGCGGAATTCTTCCGACGCCTCGTCGGGCTTGAGCATGGCCGCGCCGACGAGTTTCCGCAGCAGCGTCGCCATCTCCTGGATGTCTTGGACGGGGCATTTCCGCAGCAGAATCTCCAAACACGCAGCAACTCTCTCCGCCAATCTGTCGCTCACGATCACGGGCTTGGATCGCACCGCCACGCCCTTGGCTCGCAGCACCACGGCCGCGTCGATGAGGAGCAGCAGTGGGAAGAGCGCACACCTGACGATTCATCCCAGAATGAGGGAGAGAGAGAGAGAGGGGGGGATTTTCACTTTGCTTACTGGTAGCAGCTCTGGAGAGCCGATGCCGGGAGCGCCTCCAAAATCTTCTCGAGGGCCTCTGCCGCCTCGATCGCCTGGCCCTGCGCCTCGATGCCCGCGGTGGGAAGCTCCAGGAGCTTCGTGCACAGAGGCCGGAGCGCCGAAGAGGCCATCATTCACATTTTTAGGGTTTATACAGAGAAAAACTTAAACCCTATGCCCAAGGTGCTAACGATTTTGTAAAAATGCCCCGGTTTTGCGATAAATTATTATCATACTATTACTTAACAGGATTTTCACTTGCGCAATACCCTAATGGACGAGATCACTCACATTCTTGCTCTCAAATCGAGAGATAGCTTCTATGGAACTTTGATCTTGGAGCAGGGTTGATCTTTAAAAGCAGTCTAGGACCAATCAACTGGGAAAAGAGGCTTTTTTGGATCAAGCAGACGAATTGGCTAGATCTTTTGCTCAAAAGTAACGGAGCTGGCTGATCAGAGAGAGCGAGAAAGAGGCCAGATCCATTTATTTAACGATTACATCGAGCGCATCAATACGGACTTCTACATTCATATCCAACAAAAAAGAATCTTTTGTGAGAGAGAAGTGTTTGGACGTCAGTACACATGGAAAGGCAAAAGGAACACGGGTTGAATACTGAAAGCAACACCTTGACTGCTGGGCTCATTCAATAACAATATCTCATCACAATATAAGAACAAAGACCGAGACACAGGGCAAGCAATGGCAAGTGTAGTGGATTTACAGCTTGATGGTCTGGTCATTCACCAAGATGGTTCATACACTCGTGGAACAATCCCAACGAGTCCGGCAAATCCCGATTTTGTGGATGGAGTGGCCTCGAAAGATCTGACAATTGAGGAGGAAAGCAATCTATGGGTGAGGGTATTCTGTCCCCAGCAGAAGCATGAATCTGGTAAGCTGCCTATCCTCCTGTTCATCCATGGAGGTGGGTTCATTCAATCCAGCGCTGATGATATTGGATACCACCACCTTTGCGAGGATTTTGCAAAATCGGTGGGGGCACTTGTGGTCTCCGTGAATTACCGGATTGCACCAGAGCACCGCTTGCCAGTTGCTTATGAGGACGGATTTACCGCTCTGAAATGGCTTCAAGCAGTGGCCAAGAAGGAAGTTACCGCGCCCTGGCTGTCGGACTGTGCTGATTTTACCAAGGTTTTCGTGGTGGGCGATAGCGCTGCAGGGAATATTGTTTATCATGTCATGAAGCGAGCTTCAGCGAAGAGTGGCTCGGATTTGAAGCCGCTGGTTCTGGCTGGCCAGATTCTCATCCAGCCGTTCTTTGGAGGTGTTGAGCGGACTCCCCCCGAGCTCGTCGAGTTCAAGCCTGGCCAACTTACGACTGAGTTGTGCGATGTGTTTTGGAAGTACACACTCCCAGATGGAGCCAATAGAGATCATCCATACTGCAACCCAATGGTGGAGCTCCCCCATGCTCTCAATGATGCGGATATGCCAAGGACGCTTGTTGTGATTGGGACCGCTGATTTGCTCCATGAAAGGCAGCTCGACTTTGCAAAGAAGGTGAAGGAGATTGGCATCCCAGTTCAGCAGGTTGTGTTTGAGAATGCAGGCCATGCGTTTTACATGGCTGAAGAACAGGAGAGAGTGAAGCTTGTGGAAGTTCTGACAGAATTCGTAAGTCAAGAGATATAATATTGCATTACAAAACATTTGATACCACTTTTTAGCTCATGAGCTCAGAATTCAATAAATCTAATTGTCTTTAATTCTTCATTTATAATTTAAAAAAATGTCTAAAATTTGTTTTGTGTCTTAGAAATAATCGCCACAGGAGCACTGTCCATCTTTAAAAATATGGAGCCTGCTCGCACACACTCCTCCAGCTTGGAGATGATTGCCGTGGCTTTTTGACAATCCTGGCACACTCTCAAATAACTGATGACACTTCCTGGCTTGGAATTGATCAACGCACAAGGGACTGCAAGCTTCTCGCTGTGCTAAGCGCATCCTCTTTCTCACCAACATCCTCACAAAAACTTTGCTCCTCTCATCGAGCTTGCCTGTGCTCGAGTATATGTTGGCCATGAGAACATATGCCGCAGCACTGCTCACGTCGAGCTCCACCAACGACTCGAAATCCACCTCCCTCACGGCCACATTCTTCCATTTACACACTCCAAGCAGCGTCTTCCAGAGGCATGGATTCAATCACGTTTACTGCCCTGGGTTGCGAGGCCCAGCAGATCCATCATGCACACGTAGTGCTCTTTCCCTGGAGAAATTCCATGCTTGTTGCGCATCACTGTGAAATACTTCCTTGCCTCTTCGACCAGACTGGTATCGCTGTAAGCGCTCAAAACCGACATGAAGGTCTCGGACCCGTCACTACACTGGAAGATGGAGACCATGCCTTTCAAGTGAAACATGGGAGACATGGTGCCCTTTTGGCTCCAGGCCTCTATTCTCTCCAGCATCTCAATACATCATATCCTGCTATCATGGATCCGCCAATAGCCAAGAGAGTTATTACAGGTTGACAATATTTTAAGAATATTCTGGCACAGTTAAGGTTTTAGTGGCAATATTTTTATTTAATAGGTATTTTAAACCAAATTAATAAGTTTAATAATATTTAGATCTGTGTAAACTACCAGTATCTAATCTTAGTGGCAATAGTTGCTATTTAATAGAGGTTTTGTCTTATTTTAAAATTTAATAATTAGTATTTATATTAATTATTTAAGTTAGCATCCTCTAATTTATAATGTATATTTATATTAAATTTTTTATTAGTTTGCTTAAACAAATCTGTAAGGGGACTGGGATGGTAGTGGATATACCTAAAATATGCTTGGATATTCCAGGATATTCTACCATCTAACAGTTGTTATTCATTTAGATTAATCTTATATTTATAATTTATAAACATGTTTATAATTTATAAAATTTCTTAAACCCTTTCTAGTATATTCTTTTTTATTCTATCATCTAATGGTTGATATGCAATAAGGTTAATCTTGTGTTTATAAATTACAAACATGCTTATAATTATAAAGTTTATTTGATCAATTGGATTAATAAGTAAGAATAACACTACTATTAAGCAAACCAAACATTGCTACATGCAACGCATAGCAATTTATTATTACTATCAAATCCCTATTATAAGTAATGCCCTATGTTTTTTAGATATAATTTATAAATAAAAATTTATTTATATTATATTAAATTCGAATACAATACCAATATCTAATTATTTTTTAATGTCATGAAACACCTCATATTCAGACATTACAAGGTGATGAATCTAAATTTTAACATTTGAATCCATCCCAAAAAGCATACAATTACAAAATACATATGCTTGCAAGAGATGAAAGAGTCCCTGCAAGAGGAGTCCATTTCCTTCATCTTGAAACATCTTTCTGGCTTTAGCATGACTTGGATTGGAGTTTTGGGCATTCTTAAGAGCTAGCAGCCATTTATTTTGGTTGCTGGTTAGCATTTGGAGGTGTTTGGCTGGATATTGGGGCATCTCACATTTCTAGTAGGGCATTTGCTGTGAACTAGATGTTTCAGGCTGGTGTGGACTTGACAAGGAAGCAATCTCCACCCTGTGAGTTTGAGTACCTTTCCTAGAGCATGAGGGTGGCTTTTCATGTCTGAGAAGAGAGTTAGATTATCAAATGGCATGAAGGCACGCTCAGATAATGAGGATTCAACGTCTTTAGAGGATTCCAGCTTGGTGGATTTGCATGTGATGGCTCAACAACCTCAAGTTCATATATTCCGAAAGGGGAGCGACTTGCCAACATTTTTTGGCATTGGTGGCATCTCTCCTTCCATCCACATTGAGCACTATTGCTCATCCAACACCATCCTTGATGATGATCACAAGAAGAGGGATTTTCTCCAATCGCTCATCGGCAAAGCAGCAACATAGGTACAGTCCCTCCTTGCAGAAGACAATATGGACTACCAGGTGCTACTAGAATCCTTCAAGGACCACTTCATTGAGGAGAAGCCATTGAATTGCCTGGTCATTGATCTCTTTGCATTTCGGCAAAGTGCTCACAAGTTGGTGCCGGACTACATCACACATTTTCACTCATATTGGAAGTGGTGTTGGGGTCATCAGGTTATCACCCAGGAGCAGCAGGGGATCACAGCCATCATCACCGGTCTTCAGGGAAACTTGCAATAAAAGTTGTTCAAGTGGCAATTTGCTACATGCCATGTTGCATTTGCAACAGCCACAAAGTTGGAGCAGGAACTTCTTGTGGACTTGGGCATTTCACATGTGGAGGAGGACTTGGCATCACCCTCCCTTAAGTCCACATGTTCCACCATCCACTCACATATTCCTGTGATAGTGGTGGAGTGTGTTCCCTTAGCCATCGAGAGTGCACTCACGGAGTTGTGACAATATAAGGAGATCATCTAGTATTAGTAGCAAATGCAAGAGAAGATGCTTAAAGTGCTTTGTGTTTGCCACTTACAACAAGCCAAGAAGCCATAATGGGCTCCAAATCTTGGTATTGCTTCTATTGCAACATCGTGACTTACAACATGAAGAGGTGCTAGAAGCTTCTTCCATAGCTATGGCCACCACACTCTTAGCATGTTTAGGAGCAACCATTCGCTGATAATAGCATTGCAACACAAGGGAAAGATTGTTACCAGTAATAGCTTGAGCAACATGCAATCAAAGATGCACCTTCATCATCTTCCAGTAAAGGGAAGGCTCCAATGGATAAGGTCAATGCAATCAAGATTGTTGAGGAGGAAGTCACAAGGACAACAGCCACAAGAGCATAAAAGAAGAAAGTTGCTCAAGAGGAAATTAATGATGATCCAACTCCTTCAGTGATCACTAATTCAGTAAAAAGGTGGTATGTAAACTCCCATTCATGTCTCTCCTTCCTGGATGTCCTCTGCCTTTCTCTAATAGTTCCCAAGTCCTTGAGAGTGTACTTCAACAGTTGATGGAGATGTCCATCACCTTTTCACTGTGTGAGCATTTATGCACAATTCCCAGCTTTGAACAGCATTTTGAGGATTTTGCAAGGTCTACTAGAGCAACAGCCTCTCTCCCACATGACGTACACATAGTTGACACAGCCTTCTCTTTCAATCCAAATGCATTTTTTGCACCCATAGACTTTGGCAATGGTTCTCCTATCATCAATACTCTTGTCGATTCTAGATTTGGGAGTGATGTGATCTCTTTGGATGCAGCCACAAGAGCAAGTCTTTAGGTCTTTGGAAACACAACTCTAATCCTAAAGATGTTCATGAACCATATTATTGTCCTTGCAAGCATTTGTCACACCATTCAAGTTTATGTTAACAGGGTGGAGTCTCTTTTGGATTTTGTGGTGGTGGACTACCAAAAGTTCAGTTCCACACCTTTGAAGGATTTTCTGATCCTTGGATGAGTTTGGCATGATCAGATTAAAGGCATCACCAACTGGTTGCTTGGCATGATAGAGATTAGTGACAGTCATTAGATTTCTTATCTCTACAATGCCTGCAGACACTCTCTATTAAGAAAGCTTTAAGGATAGCCTCTAGGCCTATCTCAGAGCCAGTCAATATCCTTCGAGCAAGTGAATATCCTTCAAGCCATATTCTTTTCCTCAAACTCACTAACAGTCATCTTTCCTGAGTTGATTGAAGATCCATCATAGCCCGAGTTTAACATGTTCCAATGCAACACTATCATCACAGAGGCTTCCCCAATCTCATTGGAAGAGCCTCCACTTGAAACTCTTGAAGCTGCCCATCACTTTGATCAAATTGAGTGTTTGTTGTGATCATCACTTCTTTTCGAGTGTGGAGTTTATGTGGAGGATTTTCCCTTAGTTGCAGCTGAGTCTCAAAGCCTTCAGTATGGTACTTCAATAAAGCATGTACATCCTATAGTGTTTACTACCTTTGAAACAGGAATGATAATCACAAGCAAGAGCAACTTGGCCTCTTTATTTAAGGACTGGGTGGTGAGTGACCATGTGGTTAGTCCAACCTCTTTATTTGAGGACCAAACTGCTCCTATTTTCATAGATTTCTAGGTACCATCACTTTTGCTATCTTTACACCATGTTGCAGATTTCTAGCTTTCTGACGCAAACAAGCTTCATGCTCATGACATGGAGATCCTTGCCCTTGATAAGCAGCACAAGGCATCAGCTGAGAAACTTCTTGTTCCAAAGCACAAGTTTAAGGTGACCATTGACTCCAAAATTCTCGGTTTAGTCCTCTTTTCTCCCGGGCAGCTTATTCTTCTCATGGAATTCACTCCTTCCAAGTTCTCTCCACAATGGCTTAATTCCTCCTTTATCCAGCGCTAGGTAGAGGGTGGTTCCTATGTGCTTGCAAATGAGGTTGGCCATGTGTTTACACATGCTCACAATCATTACCACCTCAAAACATTCATGCAATGATTTCTTTCCTTTTTCTTTCTTTTTGTTTTTTTTTTATCCACATTCTTTCACCTCTCCCCTTCTATTTTTAGGCTTTGCTACATTGGGCCATGGGTTCTAGCTTGGATTTTAGCCACAAGGTTGTATCAACTCCTTTTGTGTGTGAGCTCTTACAGTTTCTTAGTGAGTCCTTAACTATTTTTAGAATCCATCACCTTCACTTCATCCCACCATTCATCACTTTCATCACACAAAATCACACTCCAAGATCACACAACATTCTCACTACACACCATTATTCATTCTTTGTAATTGATACTTGCATTAGGATTTTAGCAATTTCATCCACTT